ACGATTCCTTCGGGCTCATCCGAGGCACCTGGGCAAACCCTGGCGAAAGCGCGGTTTAGGGTTTCGGGTTTAGGGTTTAAAGTTTAGGGTTTAGGGTTAGGGTTTAGGGTTTCGGGTATTTGCGTGAGGAAGTTTGCAAGACGTTTGTGCCTACTGAAAGCGTTACCTGTATACGGCTCAGGGTTTACAAGGTTGAGGCTGTTTCATATTTGTATAGTCTTGTGCTATTGCAAGAATCTATTATCATGTTACTATGTCATATTGTTTATTCGTATCTAAATTTAAGAGCCTCCGGCTCAAGCCGCCGACCCCGCTGGAGCATAGTTGAGACCCGCTCGCATGGAAGATCATCCCAACCTGCTCGGCAGAGTTGCACCAGGACAAGCTCAAGCCAAAAAGACAGGTGGGTGGGGGTGGGGGGGGGGTGGGGGGGGGGGGGGGGGGGGGGGGGGGGGTGGGGGGGTGGGGGGGGTGGGGGGTGGAAAACGCTGATTTTGCTGAGGGCGCCCCTACCCCCCTGTGCTGAACCCCCCTGTTTACGCTGTGCGGGTGGTGCGGTCCTCCACGAAAAAATTGTGCACGACCCCCCCCCCCCCCGCTTTTTCGCTTTTTGGGGGGGTAAGGAGGGAAAGAGGGAGGTTTTCACCTCCTTTTCCCATCCAACACGCCGCCAGGGTCGGCGGACCCTAAACCCTAAACCCTAAACCCTAAACCCTAAGCCCTAAGCCCTAAACCCTAAACCCCATTTCGGTTTGGGAGAGTTGCAGTTGACAAGAGGCCTGCAGAATTTCCTGGCATGCTTGCCAGGTCACCGCCCCTGTGTCCAGACCTCTTCGCCCTCAAGCAGGCGCTGCTGCTATTTGACCATGTTATTTAGGGTTTAGGGGTTAGGGTTTAGGGTTTAGGGTTTAGGGTTTAGGGTTTCAGTGAAGCCCACGATTGCATGCTTGGCTCCCCAGGACCTTGGAAGCCCCGACATCACGATCTACGCCTGGACGCCGGGATACGGGCGTCGTATTACTGGGGATACCCTAAACCCTAAACCCTAAACCCTAAACCCTAAACCCTAAACCCTAAGCTGAATTGCCGCCAGAGTGGAGCAGACCGGAGCAGACCTCAGCCCCCAAAACCCTACAAAGGAGTCCCCAAGCCCTTTAAACCCTAAGCCCCAAACCTTAACATCCCTAAGCCCTCTAAACCCTCTAAACCCTCTAAACCCTCTAAACCCTCTAAACCCTCTAAACCCTCTAAACCCTCTAAACCCTCTAAACCCTCTAAACCCTCTAAACCCTCTAAACCCTCTAAACCCTCTAAACCCCCAAACCCCCTAAACCCCCTAAACCCCCTAAACCCTAACCCTAAACCCTACATGCAGAGAGCCTCGCGCATGAGGATCCCGGCCTGGGAATTCGAGTACCTGCGCTATACGTCCCAGGGCGAGGCGTTAGTGGATCATTGGGTACAGCATGGTGTCCCCGGCCGCACGTATGTGATGACCGCACATGGGGTTTAGGGTTTAGGGCTGAGGGCTTAGGGCTTAGGGCTGAGGGCTTAGGGCTTAGGGCTTAGGGCTTAGGGATGTTTATCGGGTGAATAGCATCGTGGTTGTGCAGGTCTCCTTTAACGGGTGCAAAGGTTCGGCCACCAAAGAACGCAGAAGCTTGTGCGGTGTACTTGGGTTTAGGGGTTCGGGTTTAGGGTTTAGGTTGAGGTTGGCGTGCGAGGTATGCGGGAAGTTTCCTTTGAATTGTTGTGGACTGCTTGCATTGTTGGTGCCAACGTCACTCTCCACCTCTCGAAATCTTGACTTTGCAGGCTTTGCACGACAGCGTCATGCTTGGAGGTTCATAGTTCATGGGTACTTATAAGTAGGACTGCAAGTCGGGTTGCTATGGTCATAACCTTCCGCAACTCCACTTATAAGTGCCCATGAACCTTCAAGTGGGCGTTTCAATGCCATACACAGAGAGTCCATATCTACTACTCTTGGGGAATTAGGTACGCAAAAAAACATACTAAATCCGGTTTTGGAAATACCTAATTCCAGAATAGTACCACAAATGCCCTAATCCCTAAACCCTAAACCCTAAACCCTAAGCCCTAAACCCTAAACCCTAAAACCTAAACCTCTAAGATACACAGTCGTTGCGAAGCTCGACGCGTTGATGAGGCGATTTCTCTGTGCTACACACGGATGGAAGTGCTCCGCGCTGCTACTCACCCGTCACCTGCCTTCGACACGGCATTTTGGTCGGTTTAGGGTTTAGGGTTTCGGGTTTAGGGGTATATGCCCTCTAGGGCTTGAGGGGGTAGTTAGCGTCAGTTCCTTTGCTTGAGTTTCTGAGGCACTAAGTTTCGCACCACAGCACAATTTGACGAGCATCGGCAGAATGTGCGGTGTAGTGTAGTTCCATTGTAATTGGGTTACATCCGCACATGTCCTAAGCCCTAAACCCTATAAACCCTCCCAAACCCTGAACCCTATAAACCCTATAAACCCTAAAAACCCTATAAACCCTCTAAACCCTCCCAAAACTCGGCTTAGCTACGCTGGCTGCAGCGGCTCCGCTAGGTGACGGAGCGACCCAGGGTCGTCAGGCCAACGCCAGCAAGCAGGCCGAGAAAAAAGAGTAAAACAACGATCTTTTGAAAAAAAGAGTTCAGTATCTATATATTCATTAGAAATAGAATATATGTATATATATATATATATATATTCATAATAATATATATATATATATATATATATTGGACACGGTTGGGGGTTTAGGGTTTTAGATTCTGGTACACGCTTGGGGGGCAGGGTTATAAGGTATATTATAGAGCTTATACTTTAGAAAAATACAACAAATTGCATATATAAATATGTATATATGCATATATATATAGTTTTTATTTATTTATATCACAGTATATATATATATATATATATAATGTATTGAACTCATATGAGTAGATGCGAGAGCAAGTTCTTTATGTCGAGGTTGGGTTTGTCATGCTAAAGATCCCGTGCAGCACTCGAAGCACAAGGAGGGGCCCCCTTACTCTACTAACTAACTATAGTTAAGAGACTTATAACCTAAGCTAGGATCCTTATAACCCAATTTGGGGTCCCTATAACTTTACTTCTAACTATGGGGCCCCTCCTTGCAGGTCTGCGGTGTCAGCGCAACGGATCGCCCAGATCGCCAAGACCCTCACCTCTCGCAGGGACCGCTGGGATTTAGGGTTTAGGGTTTTAGGGTTTAGGGTTTAGGGTTTGAACCCCTAAACCCCTAGGCCCCAGACCCAAAACCCTCCCCGGAACTCTTTGCTGACTTATCCTGGACCCGAGCTTCGGGCACTGGCGACGCTTGGTTGCTGATTCTTACAGGATCTGACAGGTTTAGGGTTTAGGGTTTAGGGTTCAGGGTTTTGGAAGTATCCCAAACCCCGAACCCTAAACCCCCCAGGGCTCCAATTTTGGGGCACAGGACCCCCTTGCCGCCCCGCCACAGGAGAACACGAAGCGGACGTACAACCGCGTGTCAGTGCTGAATCCGGATCAGCACTGACGACCATCTTCTGGACTTGCAGACCCTACTTCGTTGTAGAATAGGTAACCTTAACCTTTTTTGGGGTAGTATAACCCTCTTACAATCCTAAAGGTTAACCGTTAGTTCCCCCTAGGTACTGGACAACTAAGCCGAAGTGTTAATCTAGACCAAGCATGCAGAGCCGAGGAGAGGATGAAGGCTGGGTCAGGAACAGATCGAATAGGGTTTGAAGTTTGAATAGTCGAACAGAAAGAGTCGTTCCGTAAACTTCAGTAGCGCGAGAATAATACGATAACATATACCCTAAGCCCTAAGCCCTACCAACCAGAAGCCCTAAACCCTAAACCCTAAACCCTAAACCCCAAACCCTAAACCCTAAACCCTAGAGCCCCCAAGAAATATCGACGAGCAGTGGAAAGCCCCTGCCGTTGCGTGTTAATGAATTGCACCGGGGGCCCGAAAGACGGACCGGCTCCCCAGTCCACATGTCAAAGGAGCTATTTGACCATGTTATTTAGGGTTTAGGGTTTAGGGTTTAGGGTTTCGGGCTATAGGGTTTTTAGGGTTTTTAGGGTTATAGGGTTATAGGGTTATAGGGTTTAGGGTCATAGGGTTTAGGGTCTAGGGTTATAGGGTTTAGGGTTTTTAGGGTTATAGGGTTATAGGTTTATAGGGTTATAGGGTTATAGGGTTATAGAGTTGTAGGGTTTAGGGTATAGGGCACTGAAATGATAGAGTGCGACAACAGTGGTCAGAAATGCTGGTTGGATTGCACAAGTGAAGCACAGTGCACTTATTACACTAATCATAGTATCCGTGATTTACAAGAAGTTAAGATTAATTGTCACAGCGGACAAGGATGCGACGCTCTGAGTTATGATTTTGTAAAAAAGCATAGTTTTTTTTGATGGGTTTATAGGGTGTATGGGGTTTGGAGGGTTTAGAGGGTGTACAGGGTTCATGGAGGTTATGGTGTTTACAGGGTTTATTGGGTTCAGGTTGTGAAGTCAGCCCGGTCTTCTGGCATGGGTCTCCCATCCCGGCGAGTGTTCCCGAAGTACCGTACAAAGGGCATTTGGGGTTTAGGGTTTAGGGTTTAGGGGGAACTTCCACATGGTTAGCCAGTAGGTGCACTAGGTGGTTGGATATCCAGTGGGACCATCACTTCTTCCGAAACTATCGCCTGCGGAACGGTAGGCTTTCAATGTGGCCTGTGGACGTTTGACCCGAAGACTGTGCAGAACCGTGGAATATAGCAAAGGCGCATCAATGCTGTGCCTCTGCATTCTTTAGGGCTTGACCTCGGGACCCCAAACGGGGCCTGGCGTCGTGGGCCGCGACAAAAGAAAGTGTTGAGGAGATCTCAGCTACCATTCCTCTGACATCGAAGAGTCACCCTAAACCCTAAACCCTAAACCCTAAACCCTAAGCACCCTAACCCCTTGATTCACACCTGGAATTGAGGCCAGCACTCCTGATCCTCTACGAGGACGGGAATCAGCACAGTGGTTCCAATGACTTTGCTGCTGCCAGACTCCCGGAGCCAACTCCTGTGCCTTTGTGCGCAGGGCTACTTTGGGTCGGTGCATGGGAATGCAGGGCGCCTGCCTGAGAACAGGGATTCGGGTTTAGGGTTTAGGGTTTAGGGTTTTGGGTCTTGGGGTTTAGCGGACTGTCCCTTCGGCGGCTGGGCATTTTCCAGAATAGGGGTTCCGGTTTTTGTGCCCCAAATAGAATCCCCTTAACGGGACCCCCAAAAAGGGTACCCCTGTTTTCGGAAACCCCCTGCTTGATTTCCCAGACTTCAGGCAGCGGCAAAGCAAAGGAGGATTTCAGGCAGCGGCAGGTGCTCGGCTGAACCGCGTCCGGGGGTTTGGTAGCATTTACCTGCCCCGTAAACTCCCATCCTTGCCCCCTTCCGCCCCCCCTCCCCCCCTCAGACTCATGGCTCCAGGCATAGGAGATCTGGATGCGCAGAACTGGTTCTGGGTCATTGGTAAGGAGACAGTAAAAAAGCTGCACGAGTCAAGCCAAGCGGGTCATTCCCACAAAGGGGTATCCCTTTTATACACCAAATTGAGTAGAATCCCCTAAACCCCCTACACCCCCTAAACCCCCTCAACCCCCTCAACCCTAAACCCCCAAGAGGCCGCGGACAGAAGGAAGCCAGGGCGTCCCTGAAGCAGTCTTCCATGGCAGCCGGCCCTGTGTCCTGATGCTCCGTGATCATGAGTTGCTGATGCATTCGAAAACTAGTATAAGATGAGAGTAAGATAGTCATGATGAAGGAACAATAGTGCTTATACATGCTTATGAAACAAGAATCTAAGTTATGAAAGAGCACGAAATAAACATGGCAGCTGCGTACGGATGATTTTTTTGTTTAAAGCTCCTGCGGATGCGCCAGCTCGCGGTGGTCCAGCTACAGAGACAAGAGCAAGCCTGCATGAAACCATAGGGTTTAGGATTTAGGGTTTAGGGTTTAGGGTTTAGGGTTTAGGGTTTGGGATTGAGGGTTCAGGGGTCGGACACATGCGGAAACTTCAGCGATAGCGGCTCTGGTGGCCCCGATGTCTTTGGAGTGGTGGGTAGAGGTGCTGGTGAGGATATTCACGCAAATCTCCCAAGACCCAAGCTTTCAAAGCCCTTAAGCCTCCTCGACCCCTATTGCTCCATGAGCACGCTCCGGCCATGCGCGGCGCTTGCTCTGGCCCTGAGTTGGCGAAAGCACTCGGAGCCCTGTCGAAAGATGGGTGAGTGCCTCCATCGGCTTAGGAAGGGTCAATGTTAGTGGGTGGATCAAATCATGGCCCTCGTGCCCGAAAGCCTGATATGGGACCTTTTTCGGTGCCCTCAGCTATTCAATGGAAGGAAGCTCTGGCTGCCCATCTAGCTTGTCTTAGGGAATGGGGGAATGAAGGACCCTCTAGAATCCCGTAAGGGGTATATATAGAGGGCGCTAATTCCTTCATTAAAGGGTATACATGTAGGGCCCTAAGTCCCTCATTCCCTGCGAACCCAGCAATAAGCTGCTACTGTTATCTCCATATATATATATATATATTAATATATATATATATACATATATATATATACATATTAATAAAAAAAGTATATATATATATATACAATGATGAGGCGACCGAGTGTTACGACGAATGCTCCGAGAAGCCTTTGGCGAGGCATGTGGAAGCGCAGCCACTTGCTTGTAATTCGTGGGGCGGCATTGCACCATCCGGAATTTCAGTTCGATGTGTGTATATATATATAGAGAGAGAGAGAAAGAGAGAAGTATATATATATTTATTTATTTATTTATATATTTATTTATTTATCTATATTATATTTTCGGGTTTATTTATTTTATAGACGTGTATACAGGTCTTCCTCTCTTTCTCTCTCTCCCGCTCTCTCTCGCTCTCTCTCTCTCTCTCTCTCTCTCTCTCTCTCTCTCTCTCTCCCTCTCTCGCGCACGCGCGTTGACTAGGAGGCGGAACAGTTCAGTTCGTGGCAGCGCACAATTCGAGAAATGGGAGGACCCTCAACCCTAAACTCCTAAACCCTAAAGGGGAGTCCACCCAGGAAGCGACAGCCTTAGTGCAGTCGAAGTGTGCTCGGACGGCGAACTGAGGTTCATGGGGCTGCACAAGAAAGGCTTCGTGAGACAGGGAGACTGGACGCTTGGTGCTGCATTGCTGCTTTAGGGTTTAGGGTTTAGGGGTTACTATATAGTGTTAGAGGTTCGTTGGACAGCCGGAGGCTATCGTTGCAGGTTAGAGTTCTTGCATAAGTGCATCGCGGCTGTGAAGCTTGATGGCACCCGCGCGCACCTTCATGTTCTCCACCTCTTTCATGCGATGACGGGTTGCTTGCGGCTGCTTGTGTATTGCAAGCGACAGACAGCGCAAATAATCATGTCCTCTTCCCAACATTGACACAATCAAAGAAGTTTGCTTGCCGCTGCCTCTGACTTAGCTTGCAGCTTCCACTCATGCCCTGCCATGAAGAAATCGCTGCCCTGAAGCTTTGTAACATGCGCTCCTGCCCCCTTATATAAGCCCCTAAACCCTAAACCCTAAACCCTAAACCCTAAACCCCCGCCCTAGCTTCCCAGGCATCCGGTGACGCTGTGGCCGCCGCTGAGCTTTAGCAGCGTGTGGCAGACCGGCCGCTACTTCGCCAACCTGGTCCGGCCATCCGCACCGTGGCGGAATCTCATGTCTCCTCCGGAGGTAGTTGTGTATAGGGTTTAGGGTTTAGGGTTTAGGGGTGGGGGTTTCCAAGCCTTCGCAGATGTTTTCAGACACGTCTAGTGAGGGGTGTGTGGTTTTGTACAAAAGCCAGCAGAGTGTGGAAGACTGAGCAGGCGGTGTTGTTTCCAGGTTTGCGGCAAATGACCTCAAAACTTGGCTTTGGCTTCCTTCGTCTGCACTTGTGCATCGTTGGAGCTATGAGGGCTTATGAGGGGCGACCCCATTCCCATCGAACGTGCTGTGTTGCCGTGAATCAACTCCGCTTGCAGTCGCATCGTCACGCCAAGCTTCCTAAAGGCCGCCATCAGAACATGTACCGTGCCATTGGGTCCTCGCTCTCTCTTTCGTGTTCTTAAGTTCCTCGACTCTCGAGGTGACTGTCAAGGTGTTCAATGCCAGGGAGCAGGAAGCCATCGAGGGGCTGTCGCCACTTTGCCTAACTAAGCTCTCGAATCCGGGGGGTTCCCGAAGTCGAAGTTCCCTTCTTGGGTGCTCTGAAATATAAGGCGTGCGACATTGTTGAGGGTCTTCGGGGTATTTTGTGTTGGGAATCTCCAGGGTTTAGGGTCACATCCTGAGTGCATGGGCAGCGCGCCGAGCAGGCCTACACTTATGCCCTAAATCCTCACCCTAAACCCTAAACCCTAAATCCGCAACCCTGTATTTCCTCAGACGAAGGAAGCGCGAGTTCTTCGAGAAGTATGGGTTCGTGCTCTTGAGACGAGCCACAAAAATGCAGGCGTGGGCGAAGTACCCTAGGGTTTATTTTCGGTTTGGGGTTTAGGGTTTATAGGTTTAGGGTTTAGGGTTGCGGACACTACAGATTCTCGATTGCCCGAAGCCCTCAACTCCCTCAACCCCAAAACCCAAGTCCAACAGAGCCTCAGACTCCTTAGACCCTTCTTCCCGAGCACCCTAGACCCTAAAACGCTGGGCCACGTGCCTTGGAGTTGATGTCAGTACGGCTGGCCACAGTACGCGTGCATTGTTCGAGCCGCGTTTGCAAGTCTTCAGCCCTAAACCCTAAACCCTAAACCCTAAACCCTAAACCCTAAATCATAGCAGCCAGGGCCTCCGGGAATCTCTCCATCATGCTACCCGCACACCCGCACTTGGAGGTTCATGGGTACTTTTAAGTAGGGTTATAAGTAGGGGAACTATGGTTAGAACCTCATTTCCCTAAACCCGAAACCCTAAACCCCCTTATACATACGCATGAACCTTCAAGCAAGGCGTGATGCAAGGGCCGTTCTCGGTGAACTTGCATCAGCGCCACATGTCTCCCGTAACCAGCTCCATAGCTGTTTTACGCGGTTCAGGGTTTGGGGATTAGGGTTTAGGGTTTAGGGCTTTGCCGCAAGGACTGTGCCTGCTACGCGGCTTGAGGCATAGCATTTCAGAAGATACTGTGGTCAGAAACACCCTAGACCGAAGTTCATCAGAGCCTTGTAAACCCTAAGCCCTAATCCCCTGAAACCCAAGAAGCTCTAAACCCTAAACCAAAAGGCCACCCTAGACCCTAAACCTAATTTATTGCAGAACCTTGCAAACAGGCCGAAGATTGGACAAGCTGTGCGCCCAAGACCCTCGACCTTTCGAACTTCACAGGAGTGACTGATTTGGATTTAGGGTTTGGGGTTCAGGGTGCACAGGTTGTTCGGGGGGTTTCCCAAATTGAGGGTTTAGGGTTTGCGGCAACTTCTAAAAGGGGATGTCAGGATAAACAGGGGTTTCCGGATATTCGGGGTAGAGCACGCGTGTGGGTTGGGCTGCATGTACCCTTGCCTCCGCAAGCCGGAGGCATGGGTATGCCAAAGATTGAGACTGCGATCTCACGCATCTATGCCAAGGAGGTTGAGGAGATGGTCAGGTGGGGCCATCCCTTTAACCTGCCTCATGCTTGAAGGTTCATGGGTAGTTAGAAGTTCGGTTAGAAGTAGGGTAACTATAGTTCGAACCTTATTTAGGGTACTTATAACCCTACTAAATGTTAGTAACCTTATTTAGGGTACTTATAACCCTACTTATAACTGCCCAAATGAACCTCCAAGTGTGCCCTCACGTTGCGTGTCCCCGCCTGATGGAGGGAGCTGATGCCAGCGGCCACTTCGGTGGAGTTGGCTCCTTGGATGGTTGAAGTTGGGAGGTTCCCCCTTTTACTAACAGTCCTTCAACCCGAAAGCCTAAACCCTAAACCCTAAACCCTTTAATGGGATTGTGGTACCCCTATTTATAATCCCGATTGATGACTGTTAGTATAAGGGGGAGCATCCCCCAGCTTTGAAGGTTCATGGGTTGTTGTGAGTGGAGTTATACGTCAGAGTCACCCCCCCACTTGTAGCCCTACTTGCAAGTACCCGAATGAGCCTCCAGTTAGAGGCACGTGGGGTGTACGAAGATGACGAAAACAAGGAAGCCCCTGATATAAGCCCCAAATAGCAGGATTCCCTGATAATAAGGAAGGTACCCCTGATTTCTTCCCTAAACCCTAAACCCTACTGTAAACCCTAACCCTAAACCCTACACCCTAAACCCTAAACCCCAAACCCCCAGCATCTTCAATGATCTCCTTTCAGCCGTTTTTGCCAGTTCCCTGGGCCGAGGATCCGCTCTGTGCACGACGGGGTCCTGGCACAAAGAATCCCACGTACTCCTTCGCAGTACATCAGGATGAGGGCTTAGGGTTTAGGGTTTAGGGGTTTAGGGGTTTAGGGTTTAGGGGTTTAGGGGTTTAGGGGTTTAGGGGTTTAGGGGTCTAGGGGTCTAGGGGTTTAGGGGTTTAGGGGTCTAGGGTTTTAGGGGTTTAGGGCCTAGCCGCGTGATCTATGCACAGAGCACTTGAGAGGACTACGGTTTCACAGCCGACGATTGGCCGCTGGCGGACAACGGCTTCAAGTCAAAGTTCGACGACCCCAACGTCCAAGGCGCTCCTCTGCTTTTTG